GAGATTATGAGCATCTCAAAATAGAGATACTCAATTTGAGTAATAAATGAATACCAAAGAGGAAGCGTTACGTGCAATAGATGAGCTCGGAACTAAAGTGAGGAGGAGTTGTTACGACAGTAAAAGTTTTAGAAACAAGCTGATTAAAAACAGTCAAAGAGAATAAAATTTGGCATTTCTACTAAAAAAGGACAATAATCCTTTTTGGATTATTGTAGAAAGGAGAAAGATGGGGAATTGTACAAGCAATGCTGCACTTCACAAATACTCTTTAATGAAAATGTCAATAAATCTGTGGGGGTTTTTTGTTTTTGTTTTTAATTTATTTATTTAACTTATTTATTTTTGGCTGCCTTAGTTCTTCGTTGCTGTGCGCAGCTTTCTCTAGTTGCGGCGAGCTGGGGCTACTCTTCGGTGCAGTGCAAGGGCTTCTCGTTGCACTGGCTTCTCTTTTTGTGGAGCACGGGCTTTAGGCACACGGGCTTCAGTAGTTGTGGCTTGCGGGCTCTAGAGCACAGGCTCAGCAGTTGTGGTGCACAGGCTTAGTTGCTCCACGGCATGTGGGATCTTCCCGGACCAGGGCTCGAACCCGTGTCCCCTGCACTGGCAGGCGGATTCTTAATCACTGCGCTACCAGGGAAGCCCTGTGTTGTTTTTTTTTAAAGAGATGTTGGCATAAATCCTTTGGCCTGTCTCTGCTGTCCTGCAGGTTACAAAAATGCTCAGCCCTGGGTTCTCCCTGCTTCCTCTTATAATATCCTCCCTTAGGGTTTACCTCACTTTCTACTGTAACAACCAAAGCAAATAACTTGTTTCTGTTCCCCCCACTAAGTATTTACTCCCCTTCTTGATAGGTCCTCAGTTTTGCTGAAGCCAACTGTGTTCTACTATTTATTTTCTCAAGCCTGGTCTTCAGCTTTCACAGGCTCGGCAGTATCTGAACTAACATTAGGTAGAGGAGGGCAGGGAAAATGAAGCACAAACCAGCCAGCTCTCCTGCTTGTACAGGGTCTGTTGGGTGAAGAGGTTGGAACAACCAGCTACAAGAGGCAGCATATGGTGGGAAGAGCCCTAGATCCCCTGATCCAGGCTGAAGTCAACAGCTGTGGGGTCTAGTCCCGGCTTCAAGACACCAATGTTAGACAAGTCATATAACCTCTCTGAGCCTCATCTGTAAAATGGAGCTAAAAATACCTTTAACTACCTACTTCACAAGAGGTCAGGAGATTCAAATTAGATCGTATTTGTGAAAGTGCTCTGAAAATGGTTAAATGTTATTTTTTAAAAAATCATTTCACATTCCTGTGCAATATCTGCCTCCAAAATAACAAAGAGAAGTGCTGGCAGGTGCTTCTTTTCATCACTGGAGCCAAAACAATCATGGCAAAATCACCCACTTCTTCACAATTCTGAGCCGTAGACAAAATCACAGGCATACTAAAAGTAAACGGGAAAAGTACCAACAAACAACAAGAGAAAAGTTAACATACGCCTCGCTTAAAGCTATTTTGAGAATGCTTCCTTATAGTCAGCTCAGGGCAAAGTTCTGCATTACAGGTTGGGTCTAGACTTCCTTTAGTTCCCTGAAGCCTGGAAGGGCACAGCGATGTCTCTGGCTAAGAGTGTCTATGAGGAGAACGGACAGAAAGATGAAGTGAAATAATACGTGCCTCTAGGCTTCTCCTTAAAGAGAGAGGGCAAGCCTCAGAGGTGATGCCAAAATACCTAGTGTGAACACAGTGGAAAGGCCTCAGGTTGTGGAGTAGGAAAGATTTGGGTTTCAGTCCTGGCTTGGCCACTTACTGACGGGGCAAGCCCATCTTTCAGTCAGATTTTCATCTGCTACGTGAGGAACACTATCTACTTCAAAGGGATATTCTGATGATGAAACGAGATAAGGTATGTAAAGCACCTGGCACATAAAAAGTGCTTAATAAATAATAGCAGGATAGGCTATTAGGCAAAATAAAACTTCCCCGAAAACAAAAAATTTCAAGACATCTCCTATTCAAACCTGGAGGCTTATACCCTAATAGCAGTGGTTCCCAAATGGGGAGATTCTGCACCCCGCCCCAGGAGACATCTGACAATGTTTGCAGACATTTTTGGTTGTCATGACTCCGGGGTACTACTGGCGTCTAGTGGGTAGAGGCCAAGGATGCTGTTAAACACCCTACAATGCACAGGACGGTCTCCCACAATAAATAATTATCTAGCCCAAAACATTTACAGTGCCAAGACTGAGAATCCTGCCATACAGCAGGGGTTCTTAGGTACACAATCTGAGTAAGCTACGTCAGCTTTCTTAGCCCTAGCTTCCTCATCAGCAATATGCAAATAAATTGATCTGTGTGTCCTACATCGCCAGGCCTTTGGGAGGATCAAATGAAATAATGGATGAGAAGCATTATCACCATTATACCTTTCAAAATAATGCAAAAGCAGCCACTTATCGGGCAAAGGTAGAAGCACTGATATACTGGGGGAGGGTGGGGTGTGATGGGGTAGAATTCTTTGGGAATGATGCCATCTAAAGAGGGCCCTCTTGCCAATCTGCTTCAGTAAAGCTTGGCTGGAGCAGGACAGTGCTCATGAATAGTGATGGGCTAGAAGCACTTCCCAGGAAGAGGAGGGAGGGAGACACAGCGTGGGAAGTGGGCACAGGCTTATCAAAGAAGAGCTAACAGATGTGAGGAAGTGAGACAATGCTTGGTATCTTAGACTGCTCAGGCTGCCTGAGTGGCTTAAACAACAGAAATGTATCTCCTCACAGTTCTGGAGGCTGGAAGTCCAAGATCAAGGTTCCAGCAGGGTTCAGTTTTTGGTGAGAGCTCCCTTCTTGGCTTGCAGATGTGTCCTCACCTGGCCAGGAGTGGGAGTGGAGGGTGGATCTCTCTCTTTTCCTCTCCCCCACTCTTCTTATAAGGCCACCAATTCTACTGGATTAGGGCTCTACCATATGACCTCATTTAACCTTAGTCACCTCCTTAAAGGCCTTATCTCCAATAAAGTCACACAGGGAGCTAGGGCTTCAACATATGAATTTTAGGGGAGGGGACACAGTTCTGTTCAGAGAACTTGGGCACACATCAGACATAGCTGAGGAATCACTACGGCCTCAGAGATGAGGACCCAGATGTTAATTCAATGCTTTTCTGTGGTTATGGTCACCAAATCTTTTCTTTTCCAGCTGCCTTCTCTACGAGGTATCCAGTCAATTAACTCCTGCAACTCTTTTTTTTTTTTTTAGCCACGCTGCGCGGCATGCAGGATCTTAGTTCCCCGACCAGGGATCGAACCCGCACCCCCTGCAGTGGAAGTGCAGAGTCTTCACCACTGGACCGCCAGGGAAGTCCCTCCTGCAACTCTTCATGTAGGTGCCTCAGGCATCCTGTGGACTTCCGGGGTCAAGGAAGAATCCTCCTCTTATCTGTGTCCTAGTCCTCAAATGTCTGAGATCCATCAGGTCATGGGTTTCCAACATTGTCTAATCACAATCACTTTAGGCGTGGTTCTCAATTTTGGAAGCTGCTAAAAAAGTTCACCCCGGACCAGTTCAATTAGAACCTCTGGAGGTAGGACTTAGGCATCGGTCCTTTTTAAATCTCCCCAAGTAATTCCAATAAGCAGCCAAGGTTGAGGACCACTGATTATAGAGAACTGTGTGTGTCCTGTCCCCCTCCCCTCAGATTCCAATTTAGTTGTTCTAGAGTGGGGCCCAGGAATCTGTATTTTTAAACAATTCCCCAGCTGGTTCTGACTATCAGCCAGGTTTAGGATAGGTTACTACCTTCCTGAAGCTAAACTGCCTACCCCCACTTGCCCTGTAACTATTCATTTCTGTGGCTATACATAAGCTTTACAGATGCAGATTTTATTTCCTTCCTCCTCTTTGCAGCAAATCATTTTGGGGACAGCTCTTCACATGCACCAAAAGGCAGTGCTTAAAGGACAGAGTTTTCTGAAAACATGAAGGGAAGCAGCAGAAGAAACCAAATGGGGGTTTTAAAAAAGTGTGCAGCTTGCCAAGGGAGAGAGCAAGAAATCTGGTGAAAGATAAAGGAAGGAGTGGGAGTGGGGATGGAGATGAGGTCACAGGGACGAAAATGGGGTTGACAGGTTTCAACAGCAAATTAACGAACACACGGTAAGTCAACGGCCCCAGAAGTTGTAGGTGAAGGGCCTTGCTTTGGGCAAAAGAGATAACAGGCAACAGCATCTTCTGGTATAGCCCCTGCCCCCATCCTGACCTCACCCATCTTTACCCTTACTCTCCAACAATACTTCCCTCAGGAAAGGATGCCATGGACTCATCCACACCAAGCTAGAACAGTATTTTAACAGGGGGCCATGACAATAAACCAAAAGAATAGGGCTGAAAAGACAGAATTTCAGGCGCATTTACTGAATGGAGAGGGAGAGGAGAGCGGATAAGCCTTTCTTAGCTTTTTGGTAACTCCCACCATCACAGCACTCTTTACTTGCTGAATCCTGGTGGCTGTTAACTATGATGCTTATTGTGTAGTTCTCTGACACGAGCATAAAAATGAGGTGTATTACCAACATCCAGGCATCCCTGATGAAAACCTCAACGTAGACAGAAAGGTCACATCACAGACTTGACAAATTTTAAAGAGAGCACTGCAGCCTGTGTACATCACCAGCCATGGATGTTAAGTTCTCCTTATAGAAACTGAAAGTCAAGACACTTGGATTCCAAGTCAAACCCACTCTCACACTCTCTGCTTAACATCTCTATCTGTAAAACAAGAAAATTCCCAGGATAACTTGATTGAATTTGGCCAGTGGAAACAAAAGTAGGAAGAAAGGGAGGCAAGACATCAAGAAGAAGGTTAAGCAATATATTTTTAAAAGTATTCTCTCCATAGAAAGTCAAGTTAAATATGTTTTGAGTTAGTTACTATTTAGATAATATAGAAAATGAACTAATCACAGAAGAAAAGACTTACATATATTTTAGTGACAACAGCAGTCTTTACCTTATCATTTAGAAGTGGTTTGATCTCTGTGAGTTGAACATCCTGAAGTTCATCCATGAGGACAGATGAGAGTAGAGGATTCTCAGGAATAAATCAGTAACTCTGAAACAGAAGAGAAGTGAAGCAAAAGGCTTAAACTAGGAGCTGGAAACATAACAGTCACACTACATCAATTCATTCAAATATTAGAGCTTAGTATGTGTCATGCATGGCTCAGGGTGCTGAAGACACATTAGACTAGATGCTTAGGGCAAACAGACTCTAAAGTGGCCTCCGCGATCTCTGTACCTCCTGGCATTCACACCCATGCATAATTCCCCACCCCACCAATTGAGTGTGGGTGGGACCCATGGCTTGCTTTTAGCCATCAGAATATGGCAAAAGTGATGGAATGTACATGAGTATCTGTGTATGATTACATTACAAAAATATTTAACATCTGTCTTGTGGAGAGACACACTTTCCCCTGCTGGTTTTGAAGACGCAAGTTGGCGTGCTGTGAGAGGGCCATGTGGTAAGAAACAGCCTCCAGCCAAAAGAGCAAGAAACTGGGATGCTCAGTCCAACCACTTGCAAGGAACTGACAGCTGCCAACAACCATATGGGCCTGGAAGTGGATCCTTCCCCAGTCGAGCCTCAGATGAGAAGCCAGCCCTGACCAGAACCTTGATTGCAGCCTTGCAGAGGACCCAGTCAACCCAGCCGGAATCCCAACCCCCTGAAACTGAGATGATAAATGTGTGTTGTTTAAACCACTAAGGTTGCAGTAATATTTTTATGCAGCAACAGATACTTAATACAATAGTCTTTGCCCTCGTGGAGAATCCATTTTAGTTACTTTGTATAAGTAAGAGAACAACATGCTCACAGTTACACTTCAGAAAGCAACAGTTTGGAGGGTGGATTAAGGGAGAAAAAAAATTGAAGGTTAATGCTGTAGCCTAGGATAAACAGATAAACCAAGGCTAAGCTCACTAGCCTTCACCTGGGGAATCAAAGCAGTAGATGGAGAGTATGGTAGCCAGCCTCCACCATGGCCTCCAATGAGCCCAAGGGTCCTTGATTCCTGATATTTGCACTCATCTGTAATCTCCCATCCAAAAACATCAGGGATGGCCTGTGTAAGTAATAGAATATGACAGAAGCAACAGTATGTGACTTCTGAAGCGACAATATAAAAGGCATTATAATTTCTGTTTTAAGACACTGTAGTCTTGATTCATTAGCTCTGGGGGAAGCCAGTCACCATACAGTGAGGACATTCAAATAGCCCTCTGGGGAAAAGAACCAACTTGTCAGAACCAACCTACCAGCCATGTGAGTGAGCCACCTCGCAAATGGATCCTCCAGCCCCAGTCAAGACTGCAGATGACTGCAGCCCTGGAGACATCTGACTGCAACCTCATGAGAGATCCTGAGCTGCCCTGCCAAGCCTGCTCCCCAATTCCTGACCCAGGACCATGAGACATAATATATAACTTTGTTTTGGAGTGGTTTATTACATAGCAATAGATAACTAATACAAAGAGGGAGAAGTTAGGGAAAGTTGGAATAGAGAGGCAGAACCTCCATCCTACTGTACAGGAAGCCATGGGCAGAGGCTGCAAATACTGGATACTGCATGCAAGTGATTCCCACCCAGACTTCAAAGCTCTAGGCTTCATCTCCTCTGCCTTGGCCTTGCAGGAAAAATGCTAAATTCATGAGCTGGGAATTCAGACATTCAACAACCATTTATTGAGTCCTCACTGTGCGAAGCATTATGGACGATACAAAGAAGGTCCCTACCTTCCAGGGGCTTGCTAAAGAGCAGAGACGACAGCTATCTATAAAGCTAACTACAAAATGGGAAGTAAAAAGAAGAGCCAGAGGAGCTCAAAGGAGGAGCAATTACTTCTGATTGGTGGGAATCCTTCACAAGATACTACTTTATTTTATTAATCCACTTTTCTGTTTTTCCCTCCAGAGAGAGGATGTATGGCTTTGACTCGGTTAGCTATGGAGAGGGTATGTGTTCCAGGCAAACTCTTAACTATTAATGACCAATACACGAAAGTAAATCCTGCTCTCAACTGTGACTACATTAAGGCTGACTAACAAAACCTCATCTACCATTATTTTGAAGAGCCCAGAGGGTGCCAACAGGGACCACTGCTCAAACTACGGACCCCACATGCCAATATGAGGACCCCAAACATTTGTGCCAGTTAGAGAGCACAAGCCCGATATTAAACGTCCCTAGAGGACGTGGTTCTTTTCTCAGATCCCAGGTATTCTATAAACTTGATTGAGCTACTGAATGCCCAGAAACTGAATTTTTATTTTATTTTATTTTCATATCAGTCACACTTCAAAACGGGATGAGGTGGCTTGAACTTTTTATCTCCAATTCCAGCCAGCATCTAAAATTTCTCTTTTATAGTCCCCACTTCAACCCAGTTAACTCCCAAAATATTGGCCTAACTGGGATCTACTCACTGTGTTTATTAATCACACTATAAATTGTGCCTACTTTTCATTTGGATTTCACTACTTATCAGTAATTTAAAATGGCAATTTCAAACTGCTTCTTCCTATTTAAAAGTAATGTGTGCTCACTTTAGAAAATGCAGAAACCATGGAATAATGAAAAGATGTTTTACTCACAGCCCTTCCTTCTAAAAATCACCGCTGTTAACATTTTAGTCTATTTCCATTTTCCCCTCATGTAAAATGGTGATTTCCTGAAACCGTTTTTCCAACCCACCTCTTTATTCCTTACTTTAATTCACTCATTTGAAAGCAGGGCACTGCAAGATGTTAATTTTTCAAATGTGACTCCACGTGGGGAGGCCTGTCAAGGAGCCTCAGGGACAGAGGGAAGCCTGCGGCGCCTCCAAAGTGACGCATTCACCTAGTGTTCCCATGCATTTTTTAAAGATGAAGAAATATGCAGTTTGTGCCAGGACAAACACTTAAACAAGGGCACAAATTAAATGAGAAGGTTGCCCCTATAAGCCAGGCCCAATGCAGTCAAGGCAGGACACTGTGACTTAGGAACTGGCAACAAGACAGCAGATGTTCACCTTCCACATTACAGGGGACCCAACATGTTCTTCCAGAGACTCAGAAGAGACTCAATTTTTGCTCAGTTCTCACTGCCCTGAACCCTTGCCAATGAGCAGTTTTATAACACCTATCAGAAAACTAAGATCACATGGTGGAAAACTCCATCTCCAGATCCCTCAGCTACACAGACTGGCTCCCTCCTGGGGATCTAAGGCCTGCAGTGCCCTCATCTGCACAAATGATATGGCTGCCAGATCCCATCCTGGAACTAAGAGCTATTAATATTTTTAAGAGGCTAGTAGGGATTTGATAAACGGTAGTAGATAAGAACTCTTTTCTAGTTTTATGAGATAGAGGGGAGAGTGACAAGTAAAGAACAGCCATCCTCAAACTGAGGAAGCAAACCTTGTATCAAAAGGCTGGAAAGGGAAAG